TACATCAATTTACTATAAGTCATGGTTAAACCCAACCTTCACAATCAAATTTTGGTACCAAAAGTTTCCACCATAATTTTTATTCGATCTTTTTTTTTTTTAATCTCACAGAATCTCAGTTCTATAGACTTGTTGATACAACAGATAAGTATCGTGTTACCAAGGTGGACTACGTAGTGAACCCAGTTATGATAAGAAGATTCCAGAAAGCCCAACAGAAGCTGAAAGAAGTTCGTGGAGAGAAGATGTCGTACCCTGTGTTAGCTTTCCATGGGACAAAAGAGACCAACATTCATTCTATTTGTGATACAGGATTCAGGGTTCCTGGAGAGGCAAACTTTGAGCATGCAACTGATATAGGTAATAATTGTAAGTTACAGTTCTGAAGGGCCAAGCTTAATTGCCACCAAGGTTCCCGTCTCTAATACTGTAATCTCAGGCCCTCAATTGAACATATGTCTAAAGCCCCCCCTCTATGATATTACCTTCTCTTTTCAGAAGCTCTTCTATAAAAGCCTTTCTTATATGCCTTTCTCCAATATCACTATCATTGTGGTCATCATCATTTTCTTGTGATCTAGCTAGCTAGCTCAGTAGAACCTATTCCATCCCAAGGGAAGGAGATTTTTGTGGAGCAGACTTTACAACCCTTACTAAAACTTCAATCATCATCAGGTTTGATAAAGCATAACTTAAGCTGAAATTTTTTCTATTTTACCCAGGAGATTATGGCCGGGGTGTTTACTTCAGTGAGTATCCTTCATATTCAATGAAATACATCCGAGGTGCATCAAGGCTCCTTCTCTGTCAGGTGCTCCCTGGCAAAGTCTATGGATGTACCAAACTGATCCATGGGGAGCCCCTGGAGATGGGTCATGACTCTCACACCTCCCCTGACAGTAAAGAACTGGTCATTTTCAACTCTCATCACATCCTCCCCTCTTATGTTGTTCATTATGGTGAAGCTAATGGTGACTTTTCATATGAAGATACTAATGTGTAACTGAAGGTTTATTGTATTTCCTCAAAGAAGCACCCATGTTCTGAAAAGCACCCTCCATTTGTCAAACATCCATACCCTCGGCCAAAATATCAAACAAGCACCCTGCCCTTCTCTCTCACTTTCTTAATTAGTAAGGAAACAAGGAAAACCTGTTTCTATTGCCACCTTTTTTAATAACTTTTCAACCTTCAACTACAGCTGAACCAGTATAAGAGAATAGTTTCTTAATAAGCACCATCCTCAAATAAGTACTCTCCATCCCACAAGTGCTGTCCTTTCAATAAGCTCCCTCCTTCCAGTAAGAGCCTTCTATCCAATATACTACCTCCGTCCAAAAGCACTCCTCCTTTTAGGTGAAAAATTAAATTATAAAATAATTCAAATAGTACGCGTGCTCTGATTGGCCATAAAACCATTTTACATGAGCATATGTAAACATGGTTTTCATTCCTCTTTCATTAGTTATTTTATAAAAGAAATGTAAAATGGTTTCTGTGTTTACATAGCCTGATGTAAACACTTGGGTGGTTGTGAAAGCACTCAATAAGCTGGAAACCACTCTGCTTCGCATCATGGTTTCCTATGCTTATCTCGTGTTCTCCCAACCTCCCGCATGTTTACATCAGGCTATGTAAACACAGAAACCATTTTACATTTCTTCATAAGCACCTGGATGCTAACTTGAGGAAGTACAGTAAATAAAAAAAGCTCCAATGCACTTCTTGAGTTTGTCAGTAAAGCAAAGTAATTGCAACCAAGTCATTCATGAATTACTAACAAAGGTGATTTGGCAAACCTTTAAACTTGTAAATATCTTTCACCCGAGATATAACTCACACAGGCTTTGCAAAAACTTTCTCATGGCAAATATGTGATTTTTAAATATTGTAAGATAAGTACAAAATTTTAAAAGAAATAAAAGCAAATTAAGAAAGTTAATAAATCTCCCTGTAAGAGATAGAGGTGAAGAGTTGATATTCAGAACAGTTTTCACAATGAAATATGAAGTAAAACTATGTGAAACAGCATTCAGGTAAAAACTTTGGCAAGTATCAGATACATGCATAGTCAACAAATTGGTGGTTTGACCGATTGCATGAAATATCCAAGTATAGCTGGGCTTTTTTTGTTTGACAATGGACTGGGTACTTAAAAAAATTGGGACTATTTCTTTTTCAAACTGTGTATTCAGGTCACTTGAAAACTTTTAGGACTGATATCTGTCTTAGAAGCACACAAAGCAACAAAACTTATCTTGGTCTCCATAGCATGAAACAGCAAAGTATCGTTACTCTGCCCTGGATGGAATGCTAATCCATCACAAATAGTCCATTTTACAGTTGTGTGTTTGGTTGCCAAGCCTTTGAACCAGAGTGAGGCAAAGGTTGACCTTGTTATGATACAAACATTGCTGCTTTTCAAATGCAAATTACTTTGTTATCATGGTAACTAGATATTGGTCTCTATCATAATAAGGTCATCTTTAGCCTCACTCCAAATCAAAGGCTCTGTAACAAAGTACTCAACTGTAAAATGGCCAATTGTCCCTTCCCCTCCCCACCAGTAATTGGCCCAAATCCATCTCTAACAATGAGCTACAAAGAAGTTATTGACTCATTGTAACATTTTCCTCTGCTCTGAGTGGCTGTTGTGATCACTTTAGGATTGATTTTACAACACTCAATCAAAAAGCACTTTCACACAAGTTAATACAACCACAAATTAAACACAGACGTCAAAGACCTCTTTTACTTTCTTTGATGAATAACTTAATGTATAAATGTTCAAATCACTACTGTGACCTTGGAACAAAAACCAACTTCAGAAAATAATTAACTAATTAAAAATAATTTTACACATTAACATGCAGGATATGTCGAATTTTCTCAGGTGTCTGTCTTTAAATATGTTTAAAATAGTAATTTATTTACCTACTGATACCCCATTCACATAAGCAAACATGTTTAGTTAAACCAGGTTTAACTGAATAAAAATTAGCAACAGAAAACTGAAAAACTGAATTTTCCTTAGGGTCCAAGTAGTCACTAACTTGTATTTTAAAGGTGCTAAATTTGAAGTCAACAAACATGGGTTCAAAAAGTTTCTGGGAAGAAAAGAAAGTTGCACTGTTTGAAAAAACAGCTTTCACACATGCTTAAACTTTGGTTGAATAGGGGTATAAGAGTGTTACTGACTTCAGGCAAGTCATAATCTACACTGCAATGAATATTTGATATTGTAGTCTGACCTTTGGACTATTCATGATGACAGAGACTGACATTTCAACTGACCTAGCACAAGCCATCATCAACATTGAAGGCCTTGAAATGACACTAGAGTGACACGACACTGATAATGACTTCTGCAAAGGTTGTTAAAAGATCAGTTACTACAACTAACATTAGCAATTGTCAGGACTGCAGTCACCCAGATGAACAGACTAAAAGACAACATGTACGTAGCCTACCCATCAGGTTCAAACCATTTACTTTATGACCAAAAAGAAAATAGTGCATCTTTAACCCATTAAGCCCTAACATCTGTATGCAAGTTCTCCATACTGTTTTCTATACATCTTTTGAGGTGCTGAGAAGGAGAATTCATTTAACAATCAAAAGCTTCTTAAGTTGGTGATCATATCCTTCATTCTCGCGACCTTAAAGAGTGATTCAGGGATGAAATTGTAAGGACAAATTAGATCTTGGTCACTATTAAGGCTCAAAGCATGAAAACTAACACACCTATCAATTTTCACCTTTCAACACCTCCACATTTAAAAATACAACACTTGCATTCTACTGGAAAGAATTCACACTCCCCAGCCAGGTAAGGTTCAATCCCCCCCCCCCCCCCACAGCATGGAGAAGAGTCAAATGCCTGTGGGTCACCCAGGATGGGGGAGGATGTTGAAGCTTTAAATTGATTGGTGCAGAATGTTGTAACAATGTTAAATAAAACCAAAGATCATATGATTAAACAATGAAGTTATTAATAATATTATGCCTTAATGCTGGAGCACTATTTGTCCCAACTATGATGTATAACTCCAATATACAGTCCACACATAATATTTACAATAATAATTGAAGTTTTGATAAAAATATTTATCTGTAGATAATGTGAAGCTTGCAAAAAATTACAAATAATAAGGGAATTCTTTGTGACCACTAAAATTGGAGAAAAAAAACCGCTGGGCATTGCTCGCCACTTTACCAACTGTAGACTGCAGGCAGTCCCTCCTCTTTAGCAAAGCTCAAAGAAAAATCAGAGAAAAAACAGGACCACCACAGGAGCTCTATGTGCCGCAAAAGTAAGCCTCACCCACAGTTTCTATGGTGCACCAAACTCAATGCAAGAGCTCCCCAACACCCTAGCATCACTTTTTTATTTTTTCTCACTAATTTTTTATTTTCACCCATGCAACAGACTTAGCCAAAAAGGAGGGCCTTCATATAGTCTACATTTTACGATGGTAATGATAAATATTGCACTAGCAAAGGTGCATAAATTCTTCCCAGAGAAAATACCATCATGCCAAGGCTTCTCAAAACACCTTGAAGTTGAGAACTGGCACAAAATAATAAGAGAGTTAAGAAGACAGGTAAAAAAAAAAAAAAAAAAGTCAAAGAATAGTACAGACAAGTGGTCTTATCTCTCCTCACTCACTCACACAAGCCTCACCAACCTGTCAAACCTGTTGTCACAATTTAAAACAACCAACTGTCCAGATAGGATAATAACTATCCTTGCTGTTTTCTGTCTGGTTTCCAGATACTTGATTGGCCTCTCCCTTTAAACACAATAATATTCCGTGAAAATTTCAGGTGTACAACATTTTCCCAAATTGAATAAGAGAGATGGTAAATTTGAGCTCGGTAAAGAAAAAGAGAAAGATGTTTTTCCTCATGGGACTCAGAATTTTTTTTATTTGTCCCACGCTCGTGACAAGACAAAAAACATCTTTCTCTATAACATTTTCCAAGTTTCACAGTAACCCTGTTATTAAAACTTAAAATAAACCAAACCTCACCACTATAAAATCATTAAAACTAAAAACCAAGAGCAAAATTTTCCTTCTGGAAAACAAGAAATTTAAATCCAAGTTTTATAATCAACTCCTAACATAATTTCATCACTGCCACAATACTTCATGTAACAGAAAATATCATTAATAATTTATTATTAAATAATTAGATGATCTCCAACTTGCAAACTTCACTTTTAAAATATTCATTAACTGAACCAAAATGGCAGCTTAAAAATTAATTTTAAAAAACCAGCATTTTCCAGTCTAAATAAAAGCAATGTTAAGGGTGAGCTATACAAATTGAGCGACGACAGACTGAAGCCACTAATAACTCCCTTATATGTAGTTGTAGTTGCATTTTTCTTGACATCACTGTTATAGTTATTATCAACAATTTTTTTTAAATGGCACAAAAGACTCTCCTCCTCACTGCCAGGAAGGGCAACCTTTGCTTGCACAAGTGTTAACTTACTCATTAAATTTGCACCTAGCCATTCACCTTATGAAAAAAAGAATTCCATCTTAACCCTTTCACTCCTAAAGTCTCCTTAGTAATTTTTCTCACTGGCTGCCTCATATAACTTATAATTTTAGTTTGGAGAATTTAGTATTGAATCAAATGATTATAATATCCTAATTGATATATTTCTATATTCTCATCACTCATCTGCTTGATGTTGTATTAACATAGTGAAGAGAAAGTATGTCTTGGTCACTGCTGAGAGTGAAAGGGTGAAGCTTTAATGGAGTATCTAAAGTGAAGCCATACAAATTCCTGTGATTGGCTGTTTTAATAAAATTTGAAATCAGCAAAGATTCCATCCCTGCACCTCACATTTCACCCTCACTATCCTCATTGTCAATCAAACTGAGATATTCCTGGAGGGCTGACAGCTGTAGGTTGTCATGGTGACCATAATCAATGACTTCATCTTGCGAGAGGTCTGGATCACCAGGGCTGTTATTCAATGCACCTGGTGGTAACTGTAAAAGGTGTTGTGTACCATCTACCTGATCAGCTGAAAAAAACAAATCAAGAGGACAAATTTTAATCCCTTCAGTGTTACCATGTACAGGTCTTCTCCAACCTACCACCATTAACAGGGTGATCATTAAGTGCCACCTGTCAGCTAAAAAACTGATTACCAGTACCTTAAGTTTCCAATGCCTAACAGATTCTAATAACAGGGCTATCATTAAGTGCCACCAGCCAGCTAAAAAACTGGCTACCTTAAGTTTCCAATGCCTAATGGATTCTAATGATAAGCGCCACCTGCCAGCTAAAAAACTGGCTACCTTAAGTTTCCAACATCTAATGGATTCTAATGGCAGGGTTCTCATTAAGTGCTGCCTGTCAGCTAAACAACTGGCTACCTTTAGTTTCCGACGCCTAACAGAGTCTAATGACAGAGTTCTCATTAAGTGCCACCTGCCAGCTAAAATACTGGCTTCCTTAAGTTTCTGATGCCTAACAGATTGTAATGACAGGGTTCTAATCATGTGCTGCCTGTCAGCTAAAAAACTGGCTACCTTAAGTTTCTGACGCCTAACAGATTCTAATGACAGGGTTCTCATTAAGTGCCACCAGCCAGCTGAAAAAGCTAACTACCACAAGTTTCTGTCACCTACCAACCTCTATTAACTACCTTGAGATATTGATTGAAGTAAATGAAGTTCCCTTCTGGTCTGAACTGTTATTAAAAAATAAACTCACCCATAACAGCATCAAAGGAGTAATTGGTGATGTCCACAGGTTGGTTTATCCATTCATTTTCTTCCAAGTCTCTGATTGTGGCCCGCCAGCGAGGATCAGGATGTAGGAGCCAACAGATAATAAACATAAGATCTGTTATGTAAACACAATAACCACAGTATTAGTTATGTTAACCCTTTAACTCCCATGAGTGACCAAGAGAGAATTTCTCCTTACAATATCAATACAATATCAAGCAGTCAAGTGATGAGAATGCAGAAAAATAGCAATTAGGAGATTACAAGTTGATCAAATATCAAATTCTTTTAGCTAACACCATAAGATTAGTATGGCTGACAGTAAGGAGAATTGCTAGTAAGATCTTGAGAGAGAAAGGGGTTCCTAACAATGGGATTCCCTCTTAACTTTTATCGTAACCCTTCCAGAGTACTCCACTAAACATCATTTGAAGTTGGTGAAAACTACAATCTACAATGTTGAATGTGTTCAAGATAGAATCTTGTTCTTTTGAAGCTGTTCTTGTTTTCTTTGTTAATGCAATCACTGAGACACACTACTGCTAGTAATTTCCTCCTCCGAAGTAACAATGTTCTCCCTGAGTGATACTGGACATATAAATGTCAGCATTGGTAGATGATGTGTCAGTTGCAGAGAAGCTAGCAAAAGTGTATGTAATCTTGAAAATATGGAAAATAAAGATGATATTTGTTTGTTTTTAGAATAATGAAGACACATTGACAGACAAATCAACTACCCTCGTCACTGATGTATGGTTCACCCTTTAAATTCCAAAAGTGATTAACATGTAGCTTCTCCCCATCACATCCATCCATCACCCAGCAAACAGTTAAAGAGAATTCTCAAAGTTATCAGGTAGAATTTGTTACATATCTTGATTAAACACCAACTTCTCATAACAAAAGGGATAATTTACAAGGCAAAGTGCAGCAGCGAGAGGGAAGGAAGATCTAACAGTCAGATCTTGGAAGGAAAAAGGTGTGTGGGAAAAAGATTTCTTACCATTTGAGACAAGGAATGGAGGATGTAGCTCTGCACGTATGGTCTCCTCAACATCATAAAATGGATTCTCACCAAATACTAGAGTGTACAACGTGACACCCATTGACCAGAGTTCTAATTGTGGTCCTGCATATCTGTAAGATACAACAGATTTTGATTAATACCCATTAATAAAATTTAAAAGAGAATACTGCTAAAACATGGGTGTGCATAGAAGAGAAATTCCACATCTACAAGTAACCATGTATCACTTTGTTTATTATATAAACACCATTAGCCTTTGTGAATGTGAAAGCAATCTTCACAGTAATGAACACTACTTAAGCAGTAGTGAAAAGAGGCCTGAAAAAATTTTAGGCCTATACGGGATTTGAACCCATGACCTCTGCAATACCAGCGCAGTGCTCTACCAACTGAGCTAACAAGCCAACTGGGAGCTGGTCACTGTGTTGGTTCCAAATAAACCCAGGAAGTGGTGAATAATGGGTTGTGAATATATGAAAGTCATATATTTGAACTGCGGTTAAAGACATGAATTTGATCATCATCATGAGTTCAAATCCCGTACAGGCCTAAATTTTTTCTCAGGCCTTCTTTTCACTACTGCTTAAGCAGTGTTCATTACTGCGAAGATCGCTTTCACATTCACGTCTTTAACAGCAGTTCAAATATATGACTTTTATATATTCACAACCACCATTAGCCTTTATTGACAAGAATGGTTGACTAATTATTCAAGGTGAACGCTTCAGCATTCCTTTATCTACATGACAGAGTTGAGTGAAAGGTGAGTGATGTGTTGGAAACTGATTGATGATATTGAACAAATTTAAAAAAAATCATTGTAGTTTTACATGTGTTCTTACGGCTTTTCTAGAAGCTGCAATTCCTTGAATTCATTGAAACACCACAGTTGATAAATCTGATTAAAAGTCTAGTTATGTGATAGGCTGCTTTCACCATTTACAGGGTCACGATCTATTGGCCAACAGAAGTGTTATGGGCAATGATACAGAAGGAGAATGATGAAAAGGGAGCTTGGATTCACAAAGAGAAATAGCAGAGGAAATACTTACTTGTTTCCCATCAGGACCTCTGGTGAACAGTACTCCATTGTGCCACAGAATGTACAAAACTTTTTGCCTTCTTCCATGTATGCTGCTGACCCAAAGTCAATCAACTTGACATGGAATTTCTCATCCAAGATGATATTTTCATCCTGCAATTAAGATTATTTATAAGTGAATAAACATAACAGCCCAAAGAGCTTGTGTCTTCCAAAAATACTTAGAAATTTAAGATCAGCTCAGAATTACAGCTCTGTGCAGCAATTGTTGTGCCTGTAGCTTGTATGGGGCCATCAAAGTATTTCACTCCATTATCAATTTGACTTGCAGAAATAAAACAAGTACTTTTTCCCTATAACATTCATATATTACCCAGAAAACAGGTAATAAAAATACTCAAAATTATCAGGTAGAACTTGTCATCTTGATCAAACATCAAATTCTCAGAACTTATTCAAAAGGAAATGTATAGCAGTTATAGAAGAGAATTAACTATGACATCTTGGGAGTTAAAGAGTAGGTTGAATGGTTAACCCTATAAGCCTCAATAGTGCATATCTGCACTCTCTTGCATCACCATGTCTTATTCCCAAGAGTGCGTATCCACACTGTAGACTTCTTGTGTTTTGACTGATAAGAAAAACCCTTTAATTTGGTTGCCAGATGATTGTAATTGTTTCAGCCAATAGTAGAAAGTTTTAGCTCTTATTCAATATGCAAATCACCATAGGTTGTCAGTTGGTATCCTGCTGAAAATTTGAGTTGAAGTGAAAGAAGTGAAATGGCAACACTGAGTGGCAGCGAAAGCAAATACGAAGAATTCCTGGGTTAAAAACTTACCTTCACATCCCTATGAAGTATACTTCTGCTATGAAGAAAGGATACAGCAGAAACAACCTACAGCAGAGAAAAAAAATTATATCAGATGGATACACAAAGAAACACAACATCATATTTGTACAGAAATATGCTTGGTGTAAGAACATCAGAGACACACTCAGCTGCACCTCATGTACCACTTTTCAGTGCTTACCACATTTTGACATCATTGATGATCTGTTACTGAACAGACCCACAGCAACATAGAGACTATTTAACCCTTTAACTCCCAGATCAAATTTGTAACTCTCCTTACTGTCAACCATACAATTTTCATAATGTTAGTGTAGAGAATTTAGTATTGGATCAAGTAGTTATCCCCAAATTGATATTATTCTTTATTCTCATCACTTATCTGGTTGATATTGTATTGATATTGTAAGGAGAAATTCTGTCTTGGTCACTCATGGGAGTTAAAGGGTTAACAATAGTTTGCTAGCTTAACATAACTCACAAGTTAGTGGTTTTTTCCTCACAAAAGACAAACAAAAGTCAATAAACACAGAAATTTAACATAGAAACTGGGATGAATACCTGTCTAAACAAGTAACTGCAGAGAGGTTCGTCTGTTGCTGGCTGTCTGTCGATAAACTCAAACAAATCCATTCCACTTCCATGCTTCTCCATGACCAACTGAAAGAATTCTTCATTTTCAAAAGCCTCTAGCATCTACAAGACAAGAAAATTCTCACTGACATTTCTTTCAGCTGTAGCATCAGTATTTTAGTTCTTCATACTTCCTCTGTAATTTTAAGTAGAATTTTTCCAACAATCAAGAACTTCTTGAGTTTGCAATCATTTCTTTTAATTCTCATGGCCTTAATGTTTGATTCAGGGGTGATTCTGTTGGGAGAAATTAGATGCTAATCACACTTAGAGGTTAGAGGGATTAAGAAATGAGGTGGCATCAGAGAAGTGAAGATTAACAGAAGAAGATATAAGATAACAGCTCCTTGACCTAGAAAAAAATAGCCTGACAGGCCATTGAAATTTAGTAAGAGAATTCTGCATAGAAGTTCAGTACAGAGTTCTCACAAATCCAATAGCTGACAATTACCCTGGCAAAAGCTCATCTCCATTAGATCCACGAAAATGTTAATTGTTAACTTCAAAATATCATGACTCAATAACACTATATTTATTTAATACTAGTGTATAAAATGGGTACGTTTCTAAAGAAACTGTGGTGCTACGTCAGTGGGAGAGTATAACAGGGTAATTTAGTATTATCAACTGTGTTGATAATATAAACTGTCCACTGTTAAGAGTTAATGGTGGCCGATTTACATTATCAACTAAGTTGATAATACTAAATTACAAAATATATACTAATGTGCGGAATTCCAGGAGCTAGGAACAAGTACATATGTATGCTTTACCTTTACAATGTTTGGGTGTTTGAACTTTGCCAGCAAAGCAATTTCCAATGGAATTGAACCCAAGATTGCATCTTCTACCCAACAGTCAACCAGAATTTTTGCTTTTCTGATGAACTTGACAATGACCTGGAAATTACAACCACATATAACATTGTGATAAAAATGAAGGCCAATCCATCAGAGAAGAGGAGAGAGAAGTGGCTGAAAATAAATGGAGGTACTTTCCTCATCTTTATTCCCTCTCCTCCTTTACCCTTTCTTGTCATGATCTAATTTAGTAATTCTTCTTACTGTCTCCCATACAACTCTCATGATATTAGTTTGGAGAATTTAATTTTGGACAGAATAGTAAACCTCTAATTGATAGTTTTTTTTAATTCTCATCACTTGTCTGCTTGATATTGTATTGATATTGTAAGGAGAAATTCTGTCTTGGTCACTCACAAGAGTTGAAGGGTTAAATAAGCTAAAGATGACTGCAGTGTTCAGAAACTGGTTAAGCTGCATCAGTAAAGGATGGCTGAGCTCTAGGAATGGATTCTTTATTATTCTCAATTGATTCAATCCAAAACAATGAAGCTACTGACAGAATGATAAATGTTATTTACCTGACGTTGCAGAACATTCAACTGAAAGTTCTACCTTACAATAAAAATAAGATACTGACCTTTACTCCATCTGATCTGCGTTGACCCACTTTTACAAAACCAAATGCACCCTTTCCTATCGATTGGAGGGTGATGTACCTCTCGTCATATCGACCACGCCCTGGGGATGGCTCCTCCCTCAGACTTCCTTCACTCAATTGTTGACTGAGCTGAAAATAAAAGAGGATAAAATTTAGTCTCTAATGTATGAGTTTCAAAGTGTTTTTAGTCTTACTAATCTTTCAAACTCTACACTTGTAGGATTCCATAATTCACCTCTCCTAGGTTGGCCACTGAATACTCCATACTGTTAAAACTTGATGCTAAAGCAAAACTGCTGGTTGATCTTCCCCCTTCTCCTTCATCTTCTGGGTCACGCGATATCCATGCACAGAACAAGACACTACCATCATTCAATTCAATTTTCTTAATCTGTTGATAAAAATATTCATTCTTTCAAACTCTTAGCAATCAGAGAAAACTATTTGAAACTTGAAGAACCCACCAAAGTTATTGCAAATGCAGTAAAAAAAATAAAGATGAATTTGCAAATCTCATGATAAATCAAGAATCTGAGCTTTTTGTCTTATTACAAGCACCAATCAGTACATGCATTTAATAAGTTCCATTTGACTGATTTTGTGTAGTTTACATGCAGGTGCACAAAGTGATGCGCAGTATGCATGTTTTGCATGTTTGCACATGCATTAAGCACATGTAAGGCTGCAGTGCATGAGAACATTACTGTATAATTCTGAAAGACGCACTCTATTCAATGTTTGTTTTCAGTTCTCAAAAAGATCAAAAATCAAAAAAACCTCAAACACCCCAATGACTATTACAACATTGGTTTTGGAACCTTGAATCTAGATCAAAAACAAATTCACCATAAACCCTTTACACCCTATCATCAGTATACAAATTCTCCACACTGTTCTCTATACATTTCCGAAGGTGCTGACAAGGAGAGTTTGTTTAACAATCAAGACCATCTTTAGTAAGTGATCATTTGCCACATTCTCGTGACCTTAACATGTGATTCACAGGTGATGTTGTAAGGAGAAATTAGATGCTGGTCACTCTTAGAGATCAAAGGTTTAATACCTGGAAAACTATTGCGAGAGGTGAACCATCTTTATGTCTGGCTTGGCCAATGAAGCTTCCTTCACAAACAGGTTGCTGGGGAGAGGCAATGTCTGTGCGACCTGAGCTTGTCACAATGTTAGGTGTAGATGTAAGTCCTTCAAAGAGATAATCATCTCTTTGTGGAGAGGTTGGTGATCTCTTTGGTGATTCATTTTGAATTTGTGGGTCTGTGAGTGATGCGTCAGCAGTTGAATGGTTTCCATTAGTACTTGGAAGAGAATATGTCTCACTTGTGTTTCCCGATGACTGGGAACTTGTGACTTGTTGGACTGTTAAGGCAAGACAATTTCAGGATGGGTTAAAATTAACTGTTACTGATTTAGTATAAATGTAGCAATATTCTCTAGCAGAACCTTGGTGCCACAGGTGACTAACTTTCAGCTTGTTTAACTTCGCATGCTTTTATGAAATCAGGGTTGTCAATATAAGCAAACAACCAGTGCATTTCACAATATACTCTGGAAAACACACACACTATTCCAAAAGCGTGTAGCTCAATTATCAGCATGGACACATGAAAACATGCTGTCTACTTGGTATCACAGTCCAGTTACAAGAAATCTTTTGACAACCCTGTGCTGTACAGAACTAGGTAACCCAAAATCCTTCATACAGCAATTTGTAAGGGGGTTAGTAAGAATAATATTTTTCAAAAGGAGAGAGGGAGATTGCTGCTATAAATTTTCATGTCCCATCCATCCACTACTTAAACATTTTTGGCATGTATATTCCTTAGACTTGCCCTTTTCATGAAACATGAAGTACAGGATTTCTCAATTACTGTGAAAAAAATTTGTCTCACAAAGGGGAGGAGGGGGAAGTCATGGATGTCCCATGACCCCCCCCCCCCCCCACTGCATCCCCAGACTCCGCAAAGAGGACAGCTATAAAGTGTATGATGCTAATAAAACATTGCAGAGAATAAGTGATCTTTTTCTTAACTATTGCTAAATATATTGGCTACCCTCAGTGAAACTTATTCCAGTAGTTAGAAATCTAGCATTGTTAAGACAACCAGGTGCAATACTATTAATACCTTCCCCACTGCTTTCCAGTGATTCCTCCTGCAGTTCACCATCTGCCACATTTTCCTTGTCAAAAATTTCATTTTGATTTTGATCATTAGAGAAAGACCCAGTCCAAGACAACTTGTTCTCTTCTTTATTACATTCTACAAGTGGCGTTGATGAGTCAGCGGGTGATGAGACAGCCACAGGCTCACCCTGCACAGCATACCTGTCCTCTCCCAACTCTAAACGAACCTTCTCTGCACTTCCACCACTGTCATCTATCCCACTGTCTTCAGCATTCACCACCGAAGTGAATGATCCAGACCCAAGAGAAGAAAAGCTGGGTTCACTGAGACTGTTCTCTATTTTGCTATCTCCAAAGTTTGCAATCATGCTCTCTTTATCAAGAAATGTACTGCTCATTGATGTAGATTGTAAGTCTCTGGATTTCTCCTCATTTGCATTGCATTTAATACTACCAACAGTTGAATGAGAACTGCTCAGGCCTGTGCTTGTACTGAGTGAACTTGTAACAGAGTCATCAAAATTGTTCCCCTCTTGTGGTAGAAATAAGAATGTTGTTACCACATGTATTGAACAGGGATTGATTTTTTTGTAGTTGAGGTTAACAGCAGCATGGGTGTGAGTTTGCTAGACCCATGTGGCTTGAACGAGTACCATATTTCCTTGAATAAGCGCCTGCCTGCTTATTTAAAATTTCTGCTTAGGGATGAGAACTTATTGGAGGGAGTACACTCAATCAAGGGAGGCACTTACTGAGAAATTATTAACTTGTGCTGATTTTGTTGTAGCAGAAGCTTGAAAAGTTAGAAATATCCCTGAGGGAGGGGGGGAGCTTATTTGAGGGGGGCAATTGTTTGATATTATGGCCTAAGGGAGAGCAGTTATTTAAGGGGAAAGGGGCTTATTTGGGGCATTTATTCGAGAAAATACAAAATATAAAAAACTTTCACCTTTCTTATGACTTGTGTCTAAGAATACCAACATATATGCAACACAACAGGTAACTAACAACAACACCAACATGAAAATTATTTACCACGACTTCCTCCACTGTAGTTACTTGCTTTAGAATCAAGTTCACGAGTGTAAACCACTGTACTTTTCCGTTCTTTAGAATCCCTGTAACCGTCTTCATCATGATCATCATAATCGTAATCAAACTCATCATCCTCGTCATCGAACGGGGGGAGTGGCATACTGTTGTCATCAACATCTTCCATATCATCATAGAAGTTTGGGATAAGGTCAGTTACATGCTATGAAGAAATTACAGTAACAATCAAATGTAATCTGAGAGTCCACTCCAAACCCAATTCTTGTTCTGTTTAAAAAACTGCCAGGATTAAGTGTGGCACTAAGTTGCAAAATGCTAGAGATACTTTACAAATTAACAAGGGCCTTTGAGGAATTTTTTTAGTCTTACACAGGCTCCCAGCAAACTTTGACTTCTAGACAAGAAGCAGTATATCACCAACTGAATTTTGAATTTTGGGCCTGTCAATAAAAAAAACTTGTCAACTTGCACATTGTACAATTTGGCTTAGAACTGTTTGCATTTGTGAAAAGTGCTAAAAAATAATTATTATGATGATTGATTTTGTATTTGCTATCATTATCGTCTTTATTGTTATCATCATTGTCATGATTGTAGTCTTTGTCTTCATCATCGTCTTTGTCATCCTCGTTATCATTGTTCATTGTCATCATTCACTGTCATCGTTCATTGTAATCATTCCTCTGCATTGTTCATCATCACCATCATTGTTCATTGTCACTGTCCATCATCATCAATCATCATCATTGCTCATCATCATTGTTCATTGTAATTGTTCGTTGTCATTGTTCACCATCATAGTTCATCATCATTGTTCATCGTCATTGTTCATCGTCATTGTTCATAATCATTGTTCATCGTAATCATTCATCGTCATTCATTGTCATTGTTCATCATCATCATTCATCGTCATCCTTCATCATTGTTGTTCATCTGCATCTCATCTCCATTGTTCATCACCATTGTCATCATCATCCTCATCCTCATCATTCATTAATCATTGTTCATTGTCATCATCATTCATACTTGTCATCATCATTATTGTCATTTTTATAAAAATTACCCCTATAAAACTTAAGTGTTACCTTTCCTTCCAGCTCTTTCTGGGCATAACCAAAAAGCATGAGAGCAAAGTTGTGATTACAGGAATGGATAACTCCATCAGGCGTGAATGTAACCAGCCCACTGATGTTAGCAAATACCCACACCAAGCCTTTGAAGAAAAGTTGATCATCAGGGAATTTTTTATCACGGTCAAGCTTCTTCAGATCCTTGCCATATTTTGGTTTAAGGGAGATACTCAGTGGAAATGTGCCCCCATCCCTTGTTCTTCCAGTTGCTCTCTGCTTTTTGACATGCTTGAAGAGAAAAAGTAAAAAGAAATTAGTGTGTGGGTTGTAAACAATATGTTTGTTTATCATGGTTTTGATTATACACAAATGTTTGATGATTTGCTTGTAGAATCACTGTTAATTCAAGAGTCGAGTTATCGATTGAGAACAGAAACATTTTGACTGCTTCTTCTAGTCTTCAAATGCAATGCCACAATGTTGAGGGCTGGGTAAAATTTCTATAATAATTGTACAATCGCAATTTGAAATGTTTTGGTGAAAGTAATTTCCTGGAAATTTAGCAACCATACAAAGATTTCATTCAGCAATCAAGCACTTGCTGCTGCTTGCAAAAAATTTCACACTTCTTACACTCACACTTTATCTTCATAATAATTCCAGGTCTGGAAATTAATTTGCAAATGTCTAAATGCTTTTTCAAGAATTAAAGATTCTGTACAAACCCTGTCTTTTTCAGAGGACAGGTCTTGGTGATTACACATTTCTATGTTAGTAGCAAATAATGGTTAGCTTCCATTACACAGGTTGTAGCATACTTCCATTGGAGCATTTCAATCCTCACGATTAGGGTCACTTTTTAATGCATAACTGTTTTTTTCGGTTATACAAGGTCAAATTTGTTCAACTGAAGTTCTAAAAACAAAGCCTAATTGCTTTACTGCATGTTCCAGAAAAATGGCAACTGTTTTAATTATGATACAAACCTTGCTCATCTTCTCACTTGTTGGCAACTCTAGTGCAGGTATTAACTTTTTAATATTGACCCCAATCAAATCTCCAGTAACATAGTAACCATAAAGAGTAGCAAGATCTTGATCACAATCCACTATATCACCCTGAAAATAAGGCGCATACTTATGATTAGATCATGGTCTTCCAAAACTAAATTATCTATGTTCTGAGGCACTAACTGCTGGGCAGTCCCTCCTTTTGGCCAATTTTTTTATTGCACCAGTCAAAAAGAAAGACAAAACCAGTAATAAAAGAAAATTGAAGTGATGCACACTGTACCTCACTTCCAGAGTTCCACACATCATGACATTACAGCATGCTAACATAAAAAAGATTGATATTAGCATACTGTACCTCACTTCCAGAGTTCTGCACAGCATGTTACAGTATGCTAACATCAATTTTTTTTCTGCTGAATTTTTCAATTTTTTTTTTTGAAAAGGACTTCTCGTAGTCTACTGAGGCAAATGTTATTGGGTTATTTTCACAAAAGCTATGTTATAGTCATTTACCTCAGCATCAAATAGCACCATGGCTGTTTTTCTTTCCACTGGTTCCATGACAGTAATGCACCGCGGTTCTTCCTCCCAAGTGAGTTTCTTCATCCAGACAGAAACAGGGAACACAATTCCACAACTGTCCACAGCGTCCAACTAAATCACAAAGAACATTCATAGCATCAAAGTACAAGTCGAAACACCATATTATTAAAGGCTGCGCACCATGAAAGTATTCTGTCATTATGTCACAACTGTGAAACATTCCTTGTAATTGTACAATTCTCCTTGCACTTCAATATTTTTAACAATAACTGCAGAAATTCTTGTGCATTCTTTAGTTAAGGGCCATTGACAATAAGGTCATATATCATAAAAGTGACAAATAATGTCATGCATGTATGATGTTCCAAAATCTTTGCTGCTTTAAACTAGCATAAAAATTTCAATGTTATTGTAGAAAAAAAATTGACCACAATTTTCCAACTTTTGTACACTCGACTCACTTTCCTAGATCAAGTCAAAATACACCAACAGTGAGCTCACTGTGGACAGATGAAGAAGGAAAAAAACTACAATTGCATTCTTAGTTGCTCAAGGCATCATTCTCAACAATCCAGGTCTACTTGCCATTGGCAACATTACATTTTGATTGTGGATCACCCAAAATTAGCTTTCACTACATTTTTTCTGAAGTTTTACTCTACAGATCAACAATAACTTTTGATTTACAGGTACAAATTTTGTTGCTCCAGATGCTTCAAATTTTTGCTAAGTACTAGTTTTTTAATTTTTCTGGCTAACCATTAACAGGGAATGAACCCTACGGTTTGAAATTTCTGATAGGTCACCTTACAAACACAAGTAATGATTTAAGCCCATGACTCTGAATTAAAAAAAAAAGTGTCATCTGATTTGCATAAGGAGTTTTTCATCTGTCTGAGAGAGGAACATTTCTGCATTATTATATTTCACAGGATTTTTTTCTCAGCAGAAACATACTTGCAGATTGATGACTAAACACAAAATCCACAAAATTTGATGCCCACAATGTGTCAGCTTTTATTTTAGACCCAATACAAGTCATAAAACACAAATCAAATGGTGGAGTTCGAAAAGAATATCAAGCAAGTGATGTTCCACTCACTTACCACTTTCCCATTTACCATAACTACAGCACCACTTGCTTCGATATGCTGCTCCACAAGAGCTTCTTGCTTTTCTTTATGTACATCAGCAAAAAGCTGGGACATTTTGATTCCAATGAGGGTCTTGGTCGAGTAGCCAAACAGCTCTGCTGCCATGTCATTAGCTGTCAAAATTTCTGAGGTTCTTGCATTAATTGTGACAATCGCTTTATTCTGTAGAAAAAAAGAGCAAAATTCAAAGTGAATATTATCTTAATTTCAGTCTCTAACTCTCCAGATCCAATTAATAATATAACCCTTTAATTCCCATAAATGACCAAGACAGAATTTCTCCTTACAATATTAATACAATATCAAGTAGACAAATGATGAGAAAAAAGAAAAATATTAACTAAGAGATTACTAGTTGATCCAATACCAAATTCTCCTAATTAACATCACAAGAACCATATAGCAGACAGTAAGGAGAATTACTAATGAAATCTTGGGATTTAAAGGGTTAATTTTACCTTCTAACAACCATACATTTCCTTGTGAATTTGACAGAAGAAATTGGTGTTAGATCACCTTATGAGCTTGTATGTTTTCATTACCTGTTTACAGGATAATGTATTCAAATTACAAGGAGAGGTTTACTTAACTCTCTTTAGGGAGAAGTACACTTACAGTACATATTACCTTCCACATCTATAATTTTGTAAGTTTCAGTTACATGTTACTTACAGGATTACGCACTGTTGTTGGAAAGACAGCTCCAGTCCCTGCTCCACCAACAAAGTTATAAAACTGCCATGAAGATGTCAGCCGAGGATCAGGAGAAGTTTCCAGGAAAGAGCCTCGGCAATGGCCAGGTGCGTAACTAAAGCTGTGCAGTGAATCACCTGGACAATAAAAGAAAACAGTAACCAAATTTTAAATTGCATTACTTTTAACTGAAAATCGATATATCATAAGAACAAAGGGGGTAGGTTTTTAATGAAACTGTGGTGCTGGGTAGATGGGAAAGTACGACAAGATAATTTGATATTATCAACTCAATAGATAATGTAAATTGGCCAGTGTTAAGAGTTTCAAAGCTGATTTTTCAAGTGTTAGCCCTTTGTTAGAGTGAATGACAAAGGGCTATTGCTCAAAATGTCAGCTTTGAAACTCTTGATGGTGGACAATTTACTCAGTTGATAATAACAAAATACCTTATCAGTAGAACATATTGGAAGTCATATTCAATTTCATATTTAATCCGAGTAAGAGGTCTTAAAGGTAACAGTAGACTGCTGGTAACTGTACCTTTCAAGCAGTTTTTTATTTTGGTTCTGTGTAATATCACCTGGGTTGAAGAATTTCACATTGGTTTTTGCAATATTTTAGTTTCTCAATCCATCACTCAGCATTTGGAATTTTATGTTTTCTCTTTTCTTCCCTTGCTGTTTTGTTTTTGGTTTTCTCTGGTACAAATATCTTAAGAGAAGCAAATCATTAGCTGAGACCAAGAGGTTTGTTTTTTAAGCCGGCTTTTATTTCTTCAGTCCTCACCAAAATTATATCCCTGATCATCTCTTCCTTGGGTGGCAACTGAGAGTAAACAGAGGATAAACCTTGCCCTAGCAGTTCAATGGGTTGATAATGCTATCCACTGGATAAATCTCTTTCCCGTAAATAGTACAATACATTTTGTTGACACTTATCTGCTGGAGAGTGATTTATCCATTGGATAGCATTATATACCACCTTTGAACTATTGAACCCTGTTCAACTGTCTGATCAAACTTACTGGATATCTGATCAAGATTTCTGCTGGGCTTGAAAACATCCATGTTATTATCTTCTAACTTGGATTTTGCCTTATACACTTTGGGGAATGTAGCATTGAGGTCCAGAGAGTCTTGCAGTGCAGTGCTTAAACCAAGTTCGATGGCACGGTCCTTCTTGGTTGGTCTGATGCGATCCAGAGGGGAGGGGTATGAAGGTGTTCCAAACAGGAATGATCCAGGGACAGGTCCTGACTTCAGATTCAATGATTTCCCTAAGGATTTATTCTAGAAAAAATAAAAATACAGAAAAAAATTCAATATATTTCATTGCCTCTTGGACCCCTAACAGTGTCTAGTATCTAATTTCTCCTCACAATATCATCCTTGGATCTTGGATTAAGGTAACAAGAATAGAGGAAGTGATCAAAAACAAAAGAAGCTCTTGATCGTTCAAAAAATTCTCCTTGTCAGCACCTGAAGAAATATATAGAGAGCAGTACAGAGAATATGCATACTGATGTCAGGGTATAAATGGGTAACTCATACAAGGTATGTGCCATGTTTGAGTCTTGAAATGGCTTAGTTCACAGTGGGGTCCTTGCGACCCAGCGGTAGAGAATCCAAGCAAGGAATCCAAAGGTCTGAGGTTTAAGTTCTTTATTTCATACCCATGTGTTTGGTACAATTATTTTTTTTTTCCAGGATTCAAAATTTTATGGACCAAAAACGTTTCTCTTTTATAAAAATTCATGAAAACCTACAGTCTTCATAGAACGAGACCAAGGCAAAGGAGACTTGGAAACCATGGTAATGAGAGAAGTAAACAGAATATTAAAAAAATCAAAAAACATTTTTTTCTTTAAAAAAAAAAAGGGTTATCTGTAAAAATGAGATTTGATATTTCTCTGGAAAACAATGATTCACATATATGAGAATGACATTACAGACCAAATAAGACTCTGATTAGCCTTTTAACATTTCAAAAGAGGTTAAAATGGTTACCACACACCATATTTTTGCAGATGTGACACAGTTATACAACTTTGAAACTGAATAATAGAACTATTTAATTAAAAAAAAGCAATATTATCAATGCAAAAAAAAATCCATATTTGCATACATGTGTAGCTAGAGCAAATTGACAAAAAATAATCGCGTTTCAAAAATGTATCTAGCGATGTTCCTAATTTTATTTCATACATGATGAGACATTGGACCTCTGAGTGCCACTGCAAAAAAGATTATTTCAATGATTTTCGTCTGTCATCTAGTTGCTAATTATAGAAAACTTTTAGCGTTGATATCACAACAAAAATATTTTTTGATTACGCTAAAAGTATGAGGAACAAAATTTATATTTAGCTCACATTCAGTGTAGGCTGGTTCGAGTAACAGGGGGTTTGTTGGAAACGTTTTTTTGAGAACAAACAACAACATGTACGATTAACTTGAAAATAAACGAAAATAGCGTTGTGCTCATTTATATTTCAAAAGTCGTAATAGTATTCAATTATGCGCGAAAAAGGTTTTATTGTTGACCTGTACATGAAGATTGTGGACTACTTTTATTGATATTTTGGGCAGTTAAAAAATTAGATTTTCGGAAAACATTTTTTTTCAATCACCTAGTTCAATTCAATTTAAATACGAAAAGGGAGACAGAAATGCGATCTGGTGACGATGATTTTAAAAGTAAACGTTACAGTACAAGCGATCGAGAAATTTAACTGTTGTCATTTGCACAGAGTCGATCCGTTGCACGAATACAGAGAAACACTTGAGCGACAAGCGTACGTCCTTGAAGCTACTGTTTTAAGATGGAATTAAAAAAAAAAAGACTGGGTAGATTATCAAACTTTTCATCCACATCCATCCCTCTGAGTGTTTTTAAACCGATCGCTGCAGCAGTGCCGGTGTTGCTACCCGGATCAAAACACGCTCCTCCGGCAAATTTCGGATGAACAAATTTTGATGTTCTTGCTAACTAAAATCACGCTAAAGAATGAAATTTCTCCCTACCAATGGTGTCTTAGCTCTGATCGGAGAAGAAACCTTCGTGTTTGCTGCATCAGGAGACATGGTTTTCCTCAATAGAGGAACACTTTGCGGACGAGGAGGAAGAGGCGATTTTGAAGTTGTCGCCATGTTTGTCTGTTCAAATCATTCCGCGCCTAAATCTTCGGAAGTACTCGGAAATCCGAGTGAGTACCGAACATCGTCGATTGAAAGTAAGGGTCAGACGATTTCTTCAATTTAGGGCAAACATTCAGTTCGTTGGGGAATTATTTCTTATGAAGAAGAAATAATAGGGATATTATCAAGGCACGCTTCATTCAACTTAAGGAATAATTGGAGCCAGGAAGACCATCTTTGGTTAATTTGACCTCCTAGATACAATTTTTACATTACGAAATTCCATATTAAGTAGATACTAATTTATGTTGAGTAAATAAAACGTTACCTTGTGTTAGGAACGCATTTTAATAAAACAGCTTGATTTAAAACAGCGATAGACAGCCAAATATCTGAATTTTTAGACGGTAGTCGTCACCTTTTGAGTGGAGGAGCGGGTAAAGTCAAAGGTCGTCGATCCCTTCTGTCATTGTAGGAGATATTTTGGCCTTTAGTATTTGACAAATATATATACAAATATATATTGTCACGACAGTTTTTTCCCGTTGCCTTTTTCAGAAAAGCAAAACGCTTCCCTGAGATATTGATCACAAACACGAAGCAATTTTGAGTCTAATCGAGCATAACTACTTTCTTCTCAAAAACGGTTGCGCTGCGCTAATTGAAACGCAAGTAAAATCACATTTAGTCGGATCAACCAGTAGTTTCCAAGGGTGCTAGGTTGACATTTCAAGTAATAAACTCTCAAACATCTAAAAATAATTTAGTGATCATAAGTTTACACAGAGGATTAATTACCATTTTACAAAGTATCAAAAGCGCACGATTTTTTTGGAGTTAAAACACAGTTTTTTACTCGGTAGAGTAAATGGCTTTAACTAAACGGTACTTTGCGAGTCACTGAAAAAAGATTTTGAATAAAATTCTGATTTTGGAAATAACTCACAGACAGGATCACTTCAAGTATTTAATGGAAATGTTTTGACGATTTCATTCAAATATAACCCATCATTAAAAATTGTTGTTTAGTAACATAACAGACGCAGTTTCCTGCCGTGCTAATGGTGACTGAGCCAACATCAGAAATAAGGTCAGAAGTAGCGTATTTTGATTTGGATTATCTCGGATCAACACTCGGGCAATTCAATAACACGATACTAACAATAGCGGCAGTAAAAAAGTAGGAAAAATTTTTAGTTACCTCAAGAATTATTTTATGGACACTTCTTTATAACTTGCCGAACGTTATTTTTTTACGATCAGCATCCAGTGTTCAACCATGCACTAGCCTTTTCCATGTGTTTTTTTCAGTTCCGTTTGTAAATTCATTAGAATGAATTGCATGCAAGACTAGACAGGCGGCGCAACATCGAGAATAACACAATAAAATTAATTATCCCAGTTTTCACCTTTCAGGCAATATATGATGTTTCAAAGGAAGTCAATAAGCTTCGTTGCTATAGCTACTCTTCTAACTATTTGCTAAGTTTTTGCAGCGACTAAGAGAATTAGGTCAATTAGTGGGAAAAACTTTAATAAAAATCTCGAACGTGATTGGCCACCAGCCCGATTTGAGCACCAATAAGACAGTGTGCGCGTCATGTTTGTTATTGGACCGAGTAAGCGGACAGTGTATGCGTAACGTCAGTGTAATTGGACAGCATAGTGGGACAGTGTAGGCGTCATGCCTATGTAATCGGACAGTGCGTAACATAACCGCGTGTTGTTGCCGCGCATTTCGTTGAGTTAACTGTTGTTTTTTATGAAAACATATTGTTTCTCAAATTTTTGCTCGGCGGTTCCGGGTTTCGTGGACGTCTGATTTGGTTAATCACTTGCGTAATTACACAGCAAATTGGACTCCACATAAACAAAGAAGGAAAAAATAACGATGATGATAATTTTATTATTATATTATTACGATGATATTTATTATTATTTTATTACAATGATGATGAATCTGCTTTTCCTGAACTCTTTGGATGATTCAGGCAGCGCAAACACAGTTTTTCCCTTTGACTTTTCATGACTCACGCGATGGACTTCTCTCGGAAAATAGGTTCATGCATGATTTAAACGGTACAAATAACTTTTGAGGTCAAAAGAACAGCAGAGGGGGTGGGGTGGGTTCTCAGCAAAATTTAAGCAGGGATCCTACTGAGACTAATCCTTCCCACGCTCCTCTGCGAGTCACACTTTCAAGATGGCGGACGAACCTTTACTTTTAGGGCTGGCGGACGGAAACATGACGGAAAATGACGATAACATTTGTGGATGGAGTACAAACAAAATCGGAGGAAAACCGGTAAAACTTGTTTGCATGGAGTAAACTCTTATGCAACCAGGATGAAAAACAACGAAGCATGCCCAGAATAATTCTTTGCACTTTATCTACATGACTAATCCAAATAAGAAGATTTTAATTTTTTTTCATTTTCTCTGTACAGAATTGGTTGCATGGCCAGCCGTTGTGTTTCCCAACTTGCCCTTTATGTGGAAAAATATTGTATTTGGTTTGCCAGATTTATTGTCCTTTGTCAGAGTCCACCTTTCACCGTGTGCTGTATGTATTTGGTTGTGTAAGCAAATCTTGTTGGAATAAAAACACAAGGTAAATGGCCACAGCCATAGGCGAAATATTAACGTTTAACCCTTTAATTCCCAAGATCTAATCGTAAATTCTCTCCTCCAGCTGCTAAACATTTCCTTGTAAATTAGTCACGAGAATTTGGTGTAAGATCAAGACATCAACTTCTACCTGATAAATTTGAGTGTTCTCAGTACCTGTATGCTGGACAATGAATAGATATTAGAGGGAGAACTTACATGTTAATCACTTCCGTGAGTCGAAGAGTTAACAATTAAACACAATCTGAAAGTTTTAATTATTTTCCATCAACTCTTTTTTCAGTTGGAAAGTTTTGAGATCACAAGCCAGAGACAGTAATTTTGTCAGCAGGGAAACAGCAGAAAATAAGGTGTTATACAATATATGTTTTTGAAAATAAATTTTTGTTTCTTTTTTGGAACAACATTCAAAGCCATTACATTTGCCCAAACACTATTAAATCAGTTTGCATATTCTCCATACTGTTCTCAATAAATTTCCTAAGGTGTTGACAGGGAGAATTTTTTTAACCATCCAAAGTTTCTTTTTTTTAGTGATCATTTCCTTAATTCTTGTGACTTTAATATGTGATTTAGAGGTGATGTTGTAAGGAGAAATTAGATGATTAGGAGTCAAAGCAGCTTTATTTAACCCTTTAACTCCCATAAGTGACCAAGACATAATTTCTCCTCACAATATTCACACAATATCAAGCAGACAAGTGACGAGGATGAAGAAAAATATCAGTTCGGGGATTATAAGTTGATCCGATACCAAATTCTCCAAACTAACATCACAAGAATTGTATAGCAGACAGGTAGGAGAATTACCAATGAGATCTTGGGAGTGAAAAGGTCAATGAAACTCTTCCATTCCCAAGAACTATACACCAAATCTTCATACTGTCTGCCATACATTTTTTATCATTTAAGCTCTGAGAATTGAGTGTTGAATAATTGAAGAATACCTTTTAGTTGATGTAATTCTTCTTGGCCTTCTTCTTAAAAGTGTAATATTATTGTGAGGAAATATTCCTTCTTGGCCACTTCTTAGCTTGAAAGGGTCTTAACGCTTCAATTGAAAGTGCTCTTGGTTGCATGAAAAGTCTTTTACTTGCAAAATGATCAAAATTTTTTGCATAGTTCAGGTTTGATTTTTCCCAAAATTTGATGTTGGTATTTTGTTTCTTTTATGATCCAGTCTTCTGGTGGATTTGAAGTGGATGATTGGTGTGATGATGCTGAAGACTGGGGAGAGTGAGTACATGTATTTCTTTCTTGTCATAGCAAGGTCCAAAATTGTGACAAGCTGGTTGCCAATGCAACTGAGGATTGTTTGTTGAAAACCAGAATTCTTTTGCTAGTCTAATGGATGCAACTGACCTAAGGTCTTGTCAGCACTTTTCCTGTACAAACAAATCGGGGTTCAAGAAACAATGATTCAACTCATTCCCTTTTTTATGTAACTGGTGGTCATTGACAAGTTGGAAAATGTTTTGTGGCCAGGAAATATCTTTCATTCTGGTATATTGCTCCAGGACAAAATTTTATGAAACACACCTTTTTGGTTACCAAATTGTTCAGTCTTGGGATTGAAACAAGGGTGTATCAGTGTCATTTGGCACCCAGGCAAAAAGTTGCAAAGAATTTGAGTCTTTTCTAACGTCTTACAGACTTTCCAGTCAACTACAGTTTTAAATAGATCTCTCATTTTGGCTGTTTTGTTGGTCTGACAGTGATAATGATTTTTCCATGAGCTTGGAGCAATGTACTGGCAAATTAACACTATCTGAAGATAAACCCGAAGAGATGAACCATACTATAGCTGGAAATTTTAGTGAAGGCCAGCCACACACAGAAACTTCATTGGCATCCATCCCTCATTTTGCACCAATGTATGTTAGTGTTGTGGAAGCACCTGACCCAAAAGAGACATCTACCAAGATGACAAAACATGAGAAAGCTCTGTTGTCTGAATATCAACAGCGTGAAGGAGGCCATGTTTTAGATGCCTTGGAGACAGATGAGGGTAATAAGGAATGGGCTGGGGAGAAATATGAAAGTGCAGCAGTTACGCATGGTGATAAAGCATTTCACAAGTTTAACAAACAGTTACATGCTTATCCACAGCAGTGCCTGAGGTAATCATTAAAGTCACTTCATATACAAATAGCTGAATTAACCGTTTAACTCCCAAGATTGCATTAGTAATTCTCCTTACTGTCTGCCATACAATTCATATGATGTTAGTTGGGAGAATTTGGAATTGGATCAACCAATAATCTCCCAATTGGTATTTTTCTTTATTCTCACAACTCATCTGCTTGATATTGTATTGATAGTGTAAGGAGAAATTCTGTCTTGGTCACTAGTGGGACTTAAAGGGCTAAGCACAAATTTTTATTGGTTCCCACA